AATTAAAGATGAGTAAAGACGAAGAATTAAAAAAATGGATGCAACAAAGTTAGAACTATACCAATATGAAGAAGAACAGATAAAATTCGACAGCACCAAGAAAAACTACGGCAACATAGAAAAACAATGATTATACGGAAAGGGCGAGTATATATGGAAAAAGAAAATTCTCTTTGCTATTATTCATTAAACGTTGGAAAAGCGGGACGTCGAACAAATTTATGCTAAACATGTTATGTATCGAATCTCAAACATGATTCATTCTGTATGTATAAATGATGTGTATCGGTGGAAAAATAAAAGCTGCACGAGGCACAAAGAAAACAGTTTCCATACATTACCTTTATTGTTGTACCTGTCATATTTATTTATAAGTTATTTTCATGGCGTATTTGCAGGCGCCGAAGCAATTCATGTTCCATTGAAAATCTCGGTAACTTTTTTGCTTCACACAAGTTTTTCCCTGATTGGAGAAAGTGATTAACTAGTATGAAGATGAGAGACGAAGAAAGAAGCGTATAAAGCGAACGAATCCGCTTTAATTTAATTCTGCTTCGTCTAGGAATTCTCCAGAAATAATTAAACCCCTTAAAAATGTAAAACATGTAATTATTAACGATTTTCTCACACAATTTTTCTCTTACTTATTAGGTTTTATGGAGTTTTTTCTGCATTCAGAAATCTTCAAAAGCCACTCAGAAATCCTTTTCTATAATTAATGTATGGTGAAAAATTGATCCTTTTTAACTACTTTTACAATATGGCAAAAACACAATTTTAAGTTATTATTTTGATATATTTTATTGTATTTTCTATGATATAATTATGGACCTAGAAATTTGAAATTTACCATAACTCTGCTATTTGCGAATAATCTATTTCTATACATAATTAGGCTATCTCATAATTAGGCTTAATTAATTAATGAGAATTAAAAGATGAAATTTGTTTAGAATTGAGACAAGAGAAAACAATAAAATAGTTTTCGGGAAAACAAAATAATCGAAATGTGAGTTTCTAAAAGTCAAAAAGTTTATTTTTTACCCTGTCGGCTCTTTTTCGTAAGAATTAGCACTTTTCATCTTTAAAAACAATTAATTGTAGTCGTTAAAAATAATAAAACACAATCAGTGAATCAATCAATGTCGGTTGAAGCTTTACAATAGCAGGTAGGTACGTATAATATCGTTTTAATTTAATTTGTGCGTCTAGAATCTAATATAATCTAGAATAAGTTTCCCCACTTAAAATGTTCAAAATACGGTTTGCTTGTTCTGTTAAAAATAACCATAATGGTTATAAATCGCCTGTGTAAAGTAATTACCGGGAAATAAATAGGTAATATCATGCAGATACGAAAGGAAAGTCATGCATCTTTTCTCGAATGTTTTAAGAATTCGTTTCTTAACTACCGAATGAATGCACCCAGTAAGATTTATGGCATAGTGAAATTGTATTTCTTTCAGTTTCTTATCACAAAAAAATGTTCTGTATGTTGAACACACATAATTCGTAAAGCGTGGTACTAGTCAAGTTGATATTTTTTATTAGAGCAGTTTTTAATGATAAATATAGTACTCGTATAATTTTAGATTTTTATTAATTGTAGAGGGTGGCCCAAAATTTATGGATTTTTAAGGACCCACTAAGCAAACCTTAACACTGAATCTAACTGTATAGTAATATACAGAGTAATATGCAATGAACTTTCTAAAGCGTACCTACCCTATAAAATACGAAACATTTTGGGATGCAAATTTTAGTTGGGACACCCCGTATAAATATATGTCTATATTATGTTATTCAATATTATTATTCGCAACTGTTACTACTATTACCTATTAATATAATCAATTATTAATATATTTGATTACAAGGTTATATTACTGTTCAGTTATTTATGGACCCTTTATTTATAAATTATGAGGAACATTATAATCTAAAGACCTCTTGTTTGTTTGTGTTTATCTCGAGGGATTTTTCGCGGCGCTGTGAAAATATCCATTAAAAATTTCCATGAGAGAGGGGCTTCTACCCGAAATGTTTTATTAAATATTAATATTTTTAATGTATCAAAATGTCGAAAAATAAGTATATTCCTGGAAATTTTCAAACAGTAGAAGTTGTAAAAAACATTTCATTCGCTTTCTCTTTTTCTCAACATTACAGAAGTAATTTTATACAATAATTAGAATTTTACAAATACTAATATATTCCGATTTTACCTTGATAATTTATAACTTTTTCCATATTCGATTATAACTTTTTTTTATTCGATTTTTCCCACACGACTTTAAAACTTCTTTCTGATTTACTGGATATGTGAAACTCCGTAATGTTAATACTAACTGATAAGATAAGGTACTTGAGTTACGTTAACGTTGATAGTAGTTTCACTAAACTTTCTATTTTTATCCAATTTAGTTAATCAATTATTATACTAAAAGCGTTTTTGTTGAGATTGATTGAATTTTATTGAATTGAGATTTATTGATAATCTTGATTGTGCAATTTTTAACGAAAATCATTTCTGATAAATTTTCCTCCAATGTAATTATACTAAATCCAAGCTTAAGTGGAAATTAACATTTGGTTACCTACACAAATTGGCACTACAAGTCGATATGACTCGTAGCAAAAAGCTTATTTGAACTATGTCTATTTATTTGGTATAATTACCAAAAATACCCAACTTGCCAGTCAAATTTAAGGTAATTAATATACATTTTGTATACACTCGAAGTATTTCTGTTCTACCAATTATCCCGTAATCATCGTATTACATTATCATCTCTCAAAACTAGCGTAGCAAAACGAGATTAATATCATTGTCCTTAAATTCGGCTCCAGATACAAAACTTTACTCACTAAGAATTCGATTTAATCCTCTTTCCTCTCGTGACATTTTTCTCTCGAGATCCTCTGGTGATCCCCCGAAATGCCAGGAAAGAAAACGTTCGTTATGCCGTAGGCTGAACGAAATCGATTCCTGCAAGTGTTCAGGAACCATCTCAGGAAATAATAATACTAGAATCCATGTATCCAATCCAATCCAATAATAGTAGAATCCATGAGTTGGGCCATACAATTAGGAAATACTTAGGAGAAAAATCCCCGGACCCAAATAGGCATCTAGGCTAATTTTACGCCTCTTTTATACTGCAACTATACGTAAATAAACCGGAGAATATCTCAAAAAATTGTCGCTTGTGAATATTATCCACTTAGAAAAAATGAACCTAATAGTGGTACAGCCTAAATACCAGTCCATGAAGAGGTTGCATTTGCATGTATTGAAGAGACAGTATATTAAACGATCCATTGATACTTCACTCATGAATACAGAAAATTAGCTGGTGCTCTAGTAATAGCTGAACATATTAATTTTATACGTGAAACTTAGCCTTTGGCGGAATTTTCTTTATTCCTTCAGTTTTCAGTTCGAACCTTGGCTGGTACTAAATAAAAAAGTATAAACTAAACCAAAGTAATCGATAAAATAAACACCTAATACCGCATCTAATACCATCTAACGACGCAAATTATTTAGGAATACTAACAAGCAGGAGCACTGAAAAAAAAACAAAAAAAATGTTGAAATTTGAACACCCTGTAGGTAACGAAGCGTTTGCAGACCCGCGTTTATATGAACTTTTAGTCATAAAATAAGCCAAGGAATCACCCCCTTACGGATGTACACGATGTTTAGGAACACCCTGTATATAAAGATAGAACCGAGTTAGGATGCGAGATTTTTAAAACATGAATTAGTTGGGCATACAGGGGTACATAGGAGCACGTAAAAAAATCGCTGGTTACGAAAATCAACTTATTTTTACTATCTAAAATAGTTTTTGTCCGTAATTCGAAATTAAAAAAGTATAATTTTTGACAGATTTCCAAATAAATTATTAAATGGACGTTGCCTATTCGTTTGGTTTAAACGGAACTAACACCGAAATGAAAGATTTTTTCGTTATTTTGACAATTTCGTTGCTTTTAATGGACGAGAATAAAATAAATTCGAAAAAATAGGTTGCTGGTCATTTGTACTTACCAAAAATCGAGAACAAATTTCTAACTGTGAAAGTTGTTATTTTCGTTACTACGGGATACGTTGACATTTATAGTTGAAATCGGAAAAATTGATATAGGGGACGTTTTTTATCTTATTGCAATTAACAAATAAACTCGAGCTCGCGCAGCGAGCGAGAATCAGATATGCAACTGTGTGTGGCAAAGCCGGGGATGGAGGGGCGGAGCACCTCCCGAGCGTTTAACGAGTAAACGATTATTGATGAGCTAAAACATTATAATAAAATAGTGTATAATATTGTATAATAAGATACAAGCTTTAAAAAGGTCAATTTTCACATTTGGTAGGTACTTGGTTTTCATAACAATACACTATCACAAATTGCTCGGAATTTTCTATTGAAAAGTTTTGTCACTTTTTCCAAGTATTGCCATTTTTTCCATGTTTCTCTAATTTTTCCATATTTTGTTACTTTTGCCAAGTTTACCATTTTTCTTTGTTTTTTTACCTACTGAATTGTTTTTCCACTTATCCCATGTTTTGACATGTTTTTTCACTTTTTTCATGTTATCCTCTTTTTTCACGTTTTTCCACCTTTTTCATGTTTTTTCACTTTTCTCACGTTTTTTTACTTGGTTTTTCATTTTTCCCATGTTTTTAAAAACATGGAAAGTACAAACCATAGAACAAACATAAACTAACATGAAACTCTATAAATTGACGTAAAAATTTTCACTAGGTAAGGTAAGGTTGTAATGGTTAATAGGGCGGGATAGTCTTCTATCTCACAAATTAGCATTAATTCGTCCCGGTTCGGTTTATTAAATTTGTAGATACATTAGAAAATCCATTTGAACAGTATCCAACTATACTTGGCATATCATAAACATATTAATCAGCCGAAGTCCACTCGGGGTGTTAACGAGCCGCCGGTATCACTCACTCCCCAAGTATAGTCTACTACTAGTCGATGTTTAACTTATTCTTTTTGTTGCAGACGAACTGCCATTAAATAATATAATAATTCTCTTGGATTTTGAATATTTTAATGGCATCGGAATGAAGTGAAAAATGCAGTGAATCGATATCGGTAAAGAAGATATTATGGAGAAACACGACGCCATTTTATCGCTGGTTTATTTCGGTAAGTTATTAGATACCTACATTTCCCAATTAATAAGACAATTATATGCGACAGTTGTTATTGAAATGTTTAATAATTTCAACATCGCAGTATTGAATCCTGTATTCCAGTTTAATTAACAATGGTGTACTAACTAATTTGTTAAAAAAAATTATTTCAATTACCGTTGAAAAGAAAAAGTTCTCCGGAATAGGAAAAATGCTCCGACCTCGCCGGCCCCTCCATTACTGCCACCAAGAGAACTGAAATAGAATATACCAAGTGTAGCACATTAATGAAAAGGTATTTTTATAAAGAATTCAATCATGTAAATATTTGTTAGACAACTCTTTCTTTTAGCGCCCTCTTGTGCAAACAAAAACTGTTAAGACAATTTCCTCTGCAAATGATTTTCCTGAGAAAAATACTAGTTCCACCGCTGCATGGTTGTACAGTGTAATTTTATGGCTAATAATAGCATTTAGAATTCAAGACGTGTTGTCTTACTAAAACGTCTTACTATACTGAAGTATGTTTTTTCAATTTTGTCAAAAGGTTTATTTACTGCTAACTGTTATAAGATAAAGAATTTTCTTTTTTGCTTGTAATAATGTACGTTTTCTGAACGCTTTTGTTTAATTTTAATAAATATTTTTCTTCTCGGGTGCTTTCGTGATTGTTTGGAGAAGTATCTTTTAAAAGGCTGCATCAGACGGTTTATGTGAGGCAAATTTCCCTACATGAGATTCAAGCATACCCATATAAGATATTAACAAACATTTTATACTTTTAAAGCCTTGCAAATCCAAAGGGAAAACTTCGAGAAAATGAAAACCTTTTTCGTATCACTCTCTGAGTAATTTAATATACGGCCGACAATTATAATCCCGCATGTGTGGTGGAGTTATTTAACAACATGTTTTAACAGCATGTTAAACATTAACAAAAACCATGATGGATTGTGTGAGAACGGGCACCTAGAGGAGTAAAAGCTACATTACCGACGAAAATAATTGTTTATGATCTCTCGCTTTACAAATTTATGATGTTACATTAAAAGATACAAATTTACGAGCGAAATAAATTTCTACAAATGCTAAAAACCTTCTAAATTCATAAAAAAATTTGGTAAGTTCCTAAAAAATGTCAACAAACTCCAAAAAATCGTACCTAATTGTATCCTAAATTTATCAATCGCCCCTTGCAAATCAAGATGTTTAAAAACAAAGTGTTAATAAATAAATGACTGGCTATCTTATTTCTAATGCAAATTACATTTTATATACACACCGTTCATACTGAAGCAACCTCACTGCGATGCTTAGGTCCCACATTTAACTGAAATCGGCCTGCGGAATTCATTGTTTTTGGTTCATCCCTACAGGGTCGGAGTAGTCAGTTACGTTTTAACCGTATGGGGTGTTATATTAAAAGATCTTTAGTATACATAAATATACGTATTTGAAGTTAAAAATTGTTAAAATGTCAAGTACTGATACGGCTGAAGATACTGCTGATTGGTGTTCCCACAGTCCGCCTAAAAAAAGACTAAAAAGACTGTTTTTTGATATTAATGAAAAAAATGTAATTATGAACATTTACAAAAATCAAATTGAAGCAAATCCTTTATTGACCGTTAATGAAATCGTAAGAAAAGCAGGAAATTTGCTGGAGTGTCTCCTTCAAGTGTCTATGAAGTTATGAGAGAATATAAACAAAAGCATTATTTTTCGGATCCAAAACCATATCCCTCATGAAAAGAAAATTATTGATAAGGTAGACAATTTTGATTTACACGCTATTAGAAGGACAGTACATCAATTTTTTTCCCGAAACGAAATGCCAACAATAGATTCAGTTCTAAAAGTGGTAAACGGTGATCCTAATCTACCAAATTTCAAAAGATCGACTTTCCACAAGTTATTAAAAAAATTAAGTTTTAAATTTAAAAAAAGACGTGAAAATAGTTTGTTGCTCGAGAAACCAGAAATAGTGTTGTGGAGACGAGAATATTTAATGAAAATAAGAACCTATAGAAGAGAGAATAGGAAAATCTATTACCTGGACGAAACTTGGATAAACGCAGGTCACACTAAGTCCAAAATTTGAATTTACGAATCTATAACTTCCTCAAGACAAGCCTTTTTAGATGGCCTCTCAGCCGGGTTGAAAAACCCTTCAGGAAAGGAAAAAAGATTGATATTATGTCACATTGGAAGCGAAACTGGTTTTGTCCCCAACGCCTTGTGGACCTTCGAATCAAAGAAAACGGGTGACTACCATGAGGAAATGGACGACAGATCGTTTGAGAATTGGTTTAGTAACATAGTTCCACAACTAGAAGATAATTGTGTCATTTTTTTAGACAATGCCCTATACCATTCTAGAAAAGCCGAAAAAATTCCTACTACATACACAAAAAAGCCCTAATTCAAGACTGGATGAGTTTGAAAAGTATACCATTTGAAAAGTATACATGGTAAAAGCAGAACTTTTGAGGATAGTTAATGAACATAAAACCCCTTATATCAAATACGTTGATGACGAAATTGCTAAAGCACATAATAGATTAGTATTACGTCTTCCCCCTTATCAATGCGAGCTCAACCCAACAGAGCTTATTTGAGCAGACATAAAAAATTATGTTGCCGAAAAAAAATACTTCTTTAAATGTTGCGATGTTAAAAATATTTTTAGTGAAGCAGTTTTGTTTATTACCTCTGAAAAATGGAACAATAGCGTGGGACATGTAAAATTTAGAAATGAAAATGTTAGAATTAGATCTTCTTATGGACGAATTAGTTGACAGAAGTCCGTTAATAATTAATCTTAATGATGATTCTTCTAGTACGAGTTCTTCAGATTCTGAGTAACCGGTCTAAAATGACAAAAGCTGCTGATATAAATTGACCCTATTTGTTTTATAGTTCTTTTAATGTTAAATACACAAAATTGTTTTTGTTTTTCTTCATTAGTTAAACTTTAAATAATTTTCCCACACCTTACCGCATAATATTTAAAAAAAATTATAAAATTTCTGTCATCCCTTAGTGCGACTCTGTATAATCCGTCTTGTCCGTGAGATCACGTGCACAATGCATGATATTGTTTACGAGCACTCCATTGCTTGGATGAACATAGTATAGTAAAGACATAGACCTAATAATGACCTATACTTCATCCATCCAACCAACGCGGTAACTAAAACAAGATTAGACGCTGGATCAACGCGTGATCACCAGTAATTGGCCAGGGTAAGGAGACTTTTTTATTTTACCCAATAGATGCAAATTGATAATCACGCGTCTAACCTTGTTTTGGTTACTCCGTTGGCTCGATGGATGAAGTACAGTAACGATTTAGTAACATTATAGTAAAGATATAGTTAAGGTCTAATAATGATATTGTCAATGGCAGCAATGACCTAAGAAAGCCTAGTAAAGACCTAGTACAGACCTAATAAAAACCTACTACATCTTAGTAATGATAAATATTTCATTAGAAATAGGCATGTATAGGCATAAGTAGACATACAGAACCAAGGTAAACGATAAATATTATTTTTTATTTCAGCAAGTTACACTGCAGCTTTTCGTTTGACAAGCATGTCAGCTCCAAAGGTAGCCGATTTGCGAGACATAATGGAGCTTGACTGCCACTTTGACATGGGCCAGGAGGAATTATACGCCGTTAAATGGTACAAGGACGACCAGGAATTCTTCAGGTAACTGGATGATGAAATTTAAGGGTAGAATAGGGTGGAGTAAGGTTCGTTTAGTACTTATACATATGAAATAAGAAAGAATGAGAAAGTATACGAAACTGAAATGAATATCAAGAAAAATAGCAACAAGAAATAACCGAAATTATTATAATCGGTATACAAAAATAAAAATAAATTTTATGTATTTTTTTTAATGATCGATGCAGGTACATGCCCAGAGGGCAGCATGAAACGCGGCTCTTTCCGGTGCCCGGAGTCAAGCTGGACACGCGTAGCGTAGATTGCAATAAGAATCGATGCAAGATCAGCCTGACAGATTTGACGAAAATGCACAGTGGCGGCGCGTACAGGTGTGAAATTTCAAGCGAAGCACCCGCATTTAGATTGGCTTCGGAAACTCATAACGTTACCGTAGCCGGTAAGTAACGCTTTAATGTTTTAACGTATAAATATAGAATAAATTGGTGGCGGGATTAGAATAGTACCCGAGAATGACTAAAAGATTGCATCAAGTGTTACTTACGCTACTACTTGCATTAATTTATTAACATTACGTTAAATGTTATAGAGTAACGTTAATTTTAAAAGAGTCAATGAGTCAGACAAAGATTAATCTAATATAGATACATAAAAAAATTTACTTATTGAACAAATACAGGTACTTAAAAACCGTATTTACTTCTAACCAAAATACCCTATAATAAATTAACGTTCATGTAATAAACGTAATTTGGTGTGGTCAAAGTAAACATTTATTATTAAATTATTTATTATTAATAGGGAAGTGTTGGGTTATTTTCTTTCGAATTTTCCTAACGAACTTCGAATTTCACTTATTTTAATTAGTTAGTTATTTGGGGGATACACTTTAAATATTAAATACTGTTTTCCCGAGGGATCTTCCAATTTCAGTCAAGATCACTTTCTGTAGTAATTTAATAATTTAACAATTTGATTTAAAATATGAGTTTTCTGGAGTTGCTTACACATAAACCCGATGCGATAATATTTAGATGGTAAATACTTAACTTAATAATAATTACATAATAATTACAGATATTTGAGGAAAAATCGACGTTACTATGTTCGAAAATGTTCGGTTAGGCTGTTCTTACATTAAGAAGTTCAAGGCAACCATTTCGAGCTTTTTTTGAACTGAACTCAGCTTATTTCCTCAAATTATGACGTTAAACGTCGATATGTTCAGGTAATTATTAAAGGTTCCGCCATTTTGAAATGGGTGCAGATATTGACTTTATATTCCAGGGTTGTAGAGTATTTGTCAGGAGCTTCAAAATGATGTATCACAAGACCCCCTTTCCATTTAAATTTATTTCCCAAGATGGCGCCCAGTCGCCATTTTGAAATTTTCATCTGTCAATTTTATTCCAAAATATAGTAATCATGCATTAGTTTCATTATCCCAAATTTCAATTTTCTAAGTTGATCCGTTCAAAAAATAAAAGGGGGGGGACATTAAAGAAATGCACTGTATATTCGCATGTTTATTAAACTTAATAATTTTAGTATTCTGCGGCTCCATTTAATAAGCAAATCAAGCCAGCATCACCTATAAGTAAATATAATAATAAATTTGGTATTATAAATCGCTCAAGTTATCACTGCAATTTAAGTAAATTTGGTGGATGCGTACAGGTTTCACCAGAACCTTATTAAATTTGGTTGAAACGCTTAAGCTTCCCTAGAAATTTTATATAAACCTGGTAAATGTCCTCAAGCTAAAGTTAAATAGCTTTGCATTTTACCGAAAAATTCATTATCGAACCAACCCCTTCAGAAAAAACTGTTGCCGAAAAAAAAAACGCCGAATTCTCACATGACGATAATCTATTTCCTAACAGCGAAGTTAGAGCCGTAAGAAGTCTTCGGGAGTCTGTTGCAGTTCAACGATTCACTGAGAAGCTTTAAATTTCCGACCAGGATGGGATCGCTCTGGAAATTAAACTATTAGTTTAACAACAGTAGTGACAACAACTTTTTCGCTTTAAAGCGATATTTCCGAGAATTTAGTGCTTACTATTTTGGAATTAGAGTATAGTAGGTACAAGTAACTACTAGGGATGTTTCACTGCGAAATGCACAGAAATCACGCAGAAATGCATACTTCAAGTTATGTATAAAAATTGGCGCCGGTCCTGGAACTCATCCACCAAATCACAAAGATGCTTGAGCAAATGCATCAATTTTATCAATAAAAATTCAGCAAGAGCTTGTGAGTGTGAACATGTGAGTATATTAATGTTCAGGCTAGATGAGATGGAATAAATAAATAGGATTTTATGTAGGTACCTATGTATGGATGGTATTTACTTTTGATCTTCGGTGGATCCATCGATTTAAATAAACGTGTGTTTCAAAACGTTATGGGTAAATTTTAAAATTTTTAAACTACTGCAGAATGTCTACAAATAGATTAGAATATACAGTGCATTTCTTTAATGTCCCCCCCCCTTTTATTTTTTGAACGGATCAACTTAGAAAATTGAAATTTGGGATAATGAAACTAATGCTTGATTACTATATTTTGGAGTAAAATTGACAGATGAAAATTTCAAGATGGCGACTGGGCGCCATCTTGGGAAATAAATTTAAATGGAAAGGGGGGTCTTGTGATACATCATTTTGAAGCTCCTGACAAATACTCTACAACCCTGGAATATAAAGTCAATATCTGCACCTGCTACAAAATGGCGGACATTTATTAATTACCTGAAAATATCGACGTTTAAGGTCATAATTTGAGGAAATAAGCTGAGTTCAGTTCAAAAAAAGCTCGAAATGGTTGCCTTGAACTTCTTGATGTAAGAACAGCCTAACCGAACATTTTCGAACATAGTAACGTCGATATTTTTACAAATATCTGTAATTATTTCTCGTATATCCAATATTGAAGCAGGTTTAGTTTCTTACACATTTTGCTTCAAATAGCCCCATAAAAAAAGTCTAAAGGTGTCAAATCTGGTCAAATTCCGGTCAAATCCATTCCGTAGGACCTCGACGACCAATCCAACGACCAGGGAAAATAGTATCCAAATAGTTCATTACTTGTCTGGAGTAATGTGGTGGTGCTCCATCTTCCAATGGATGAGAATTGACCATTTTAGAGTTAGTTCACGTGCTACCTAACTGCAATGAGAACTAAACAACCGAAAACTAAATGAAAATACTTTGAACACTAGGAAAATCGAAAACTAAAGAGAATATCTTGAACACTAGGAAAACCAAAAACTAAATAAGCATATTTTGACTAAACAATTAATGTTCGTTGTCGTACTTAAATTTTTTGGAATTTTTTTAACCAAAAATAACCTGTCAAACCTTATCGGTTCGCTGGGATTGCTATTTGCCATAGAAAAACCAATATTTCTAGAAAAATTGATATTATTTTGTTTGTATTCAGGAAATTATTAAATGTTCCGCCATTTTGAAATGGGTGCAGATATTGAGTTTATATTCCAGGGTTGTATAGTATTTGTCAGGAGCTTCAAGATGATGTATCACAAGACCCCCCTTTCCATTTAAATTTATTTCCCAAGATGGCGCCCAGTCGCCATCTTGAAATTTTCATCTGTCAATTTTACTCTAAAATATAGTAATCATGCATTAGTTTCATTATCCCAAATTTCAATTTTCTAAGTTGATCCGTTCAAAAAATAAAAGGGGGGGGGGACATTAAAGAAATGCACTGTATGTTAGATTGAATTAGTGGAAAATTTCAATCGAGTTTGGTTCTGAGCGGATCTCTTTTGCATAGTTTATTGAGCATATAAATACTTTGCCAATGAATAGTTCCATTGCCATCTGTGGAAACAGAATCCCATCCGAAATAGAACTAATTTAAATACGTTAGCTCTCTTCTTGTTACCTAATTCTTTGGAACAGGACAACGTACGACGACGGGAGCAAATGAAAGGAAATTACTTTAACCGATGCAGGTAATGAAAATGACAATTATCTACAGACTATTGTATCAAAGGAAATCGATAGTGTATGTTCATAAAATTTACGTCTACATTTTTATTTAAATTTGTAGAAAAAGAAAATAAAAAAGCCGAAAATTCCTACGAAAAATAAACGTCGATCGTTTCCTCAACCAATACAATTTTATTACATTTTCCTGCTTACATGCATATACATACCATAACATTTTATAGTATTCTCGTTTCTCAGTATACCCATAGCACGCTAAACGAAATAAGTCTCATCTCAATTTACTATCTTACAAATGCGTTCAAGTATGCAGTAATATTGAAATTTTGAGAAAATCAATAATTTCCCTAAGACATTTGTTCATTCAGCCGCGAATTTTATCTACACGGTGTCCTAATAGTGCTGTAAAGCTCATTTACTTAGTTACTATAATAGATACGAAAAAATGGTAAATAGGAAAAATGTTGAGCACCTTTAGTCGCATAATTTAAAATTATTTCGAAATATACAGGGTATATTTCCCTGTATATTTCTGCCCATAAATCAAAGCATTACAAAACATATCTTTTTAAAAGGCAATAATAATTATTTCATAATCGATTTCAGTTCGTTTCTACGAGTTTCTCAATATAAGATATCATATGACTATACTGAGTATTTAAACAGTTATGACCATTTTTTTGTTCAAATCGTCATGACTTCAAGGCCCTGTATATCAGAATCTGTATTAGATAATGTGAATATTTCTGTGTCAGCACTTTTTAAAAATGGTCTATTTTTACAAAAATTAGTTACATTTCGACAAAATTACAATTTGTATAGAGGATGAGTCAAAACGCAAACCTTATATTCTCTAATAATAATTTAGGGTCTCACTTAAATTTTAAAGATACCAAATTTCCCCTACTTTTCTCTTTCTTCCATTTGTTTCGTCTACCAGCTAACTTTCCCATTAAAATATACAAAAGAATTCATCATTATTTATTTCACTACTTTACTACAACTTTTAGATACATATTATTATTATCACATTTATAGAAAAAAATATTTTCTAGACTGTTTTGGAGTACTCTAATCGTTGTGATGTGAGCTAAGAGTGGTACCTACTAGGTACTCTTAATTTTAATTTTTACTTTCATCACTTGTGAATATAATCAAGAATGAATACAATCACATATCAATATAATAAATAATAATGCAATATAGGTATCGAAAGTTCTCTGTGTAGCCTCAGAAGAACAGTGGATTTTTTTTCATATTTATGGTGTGTAAAGAATATCGGGTCATTTCGGTGGAAAAGACCTGGCAAATAAATTTACAAGAAAAATCTACCATTTGATCCTAAAATTTAGAAGGCAAGTCGGGATAAAACCATTGAAAGAGAATAGACTCTTCTTTATTATAAGATATTTCCAATTTTCTTATTATTTCACTACTTTAAAATAAAGGAATGCTTGATGAAAATGAATGCTTCAATGTAAAACAGGACTTCGAATTAATTTCTAGTACAAATTTATTTCTAACTTGTGTATAAAATGATTAATCTTCTGTTTTTCTGCTCAATTGAACGCAATTTTAAAAATAACATGTGTAAGATCGAGATTAAAATAATTCTTTACAACATTATCGTTCGTATTATTTATATTAGCAACAAAAACTTTATGCTCTCTTTACGATATGGAGTTCTTCTCGTTAAATTTACAACAATAGCTAGGTGATACCTCCATTCTAAACTCGACTTCCTTTCTATAGGTACATACATACGTAAATCAATTTTTTCAGAGATTATTTTTAAAACTTTCAATGGCATAAATTCAATCATGTTTTATCTCCGGACAGTCATGTGTCCGGTATAAATTCCCGTCGCGGCGTACTTTGCGACACTACCGGTGTCCCACAGGTGGCATATATTATGTGTGTAAATTTATAATAATATTTAGTAGTTGTACTTCCAAGGCCGTTTCAGCGCCGCAGTATAAACAGAGATCCCATATCGTTGGTGTATAATTTCTGAAAGGTATCATAGTAATGTGATCCCGCGAGGCTGCAAGAAGTTTGCCTTTGGAGGGTGTAAAAGCGCAGAAGGCGGGCGAAAAGCGCCCACTTGAATTCTTGCCTCTAATATCTGATAACTTTCCACTGTTTGCTTGGATTACTTTACTTGCTCGTTGGAGTATGAGATATACATAGATTAATCGCCTTATCCTGCTATTGTAAGGTAAAAAACACCGGAAACAGCTTTAACGGTTAAAATTAAATTATTGTAAGTTTTTACCAGAATTTGAGATTGATTGTTCAAATGTAGGTCAATAGTAAAATTATTGCAAACGGTTCGTTGGAAAAATGATTGCTAATAATTATTCTACTAAAACTTAAAACTCCTAAAAGCATTGTGAAGCTCATTGGTAAATATAAATTGTGCATTTCTCCACTAAATCCTTTACTCATTCACAAATACTCAGAAACTGTTGCTGATTCCTTTTGTCAAATATTGTGCACAGCATTGCACGTTTTTTAAACGGCATTCCAGGTAATAATCCAAACTATTAGTTTACAAAATGGTTTTAGCATTGATGGTAAACAGACCATTGAATGCAATATATTACACCCGTATATTATTCATTTTCGGCCAAAAATACATATTACCAGTACAATAATTTATTGTGAGTCATATCGAGAAACGAAGCTCATTTTATATATATTTACATTGTTGCAGCGTTACCAAGAGGACTCCCTAAAATCGACGGACTTGCAAAAACTTATGTGGAAGGAGACACTTTCAATGCAAAATGCACCTCGGATTACGCAGATCCCGAGCCCATATTGACATGGAAAATTAATGGTTTAGATGTAAGTATTCATATTTTTCTAAATTTTAGCGGAAGGATTCAATAGCCCAAGGAGAAAAAAGAATGATTTCTTAAGGGAAATTATGAATTATTTAAATTATTAATATAAAGTTTTACAAGTTTTATTAAGAAAGTTTACACTACCTTCCTTCTATACATATCGTTTGCTCCATTTCCGATTGCAACATGGTCATTTCTATGAGTGGAACAAAGAAAGATTAATAAAATAACAGTTATCAGAGTGAAAAGTTGCAATAACACAAATGTCACTCTTTCTTTTTCCTTTGTAAGTGTCTAATGGACTTTATCGCACCCATGGCCTATATAACTTATGTTACGATCATAAATGGAGCAACCTGTATAAGTTTCTAAATTCTGATTAAGAAATGCACCGTCTTACGTAATTCTAATAATTTCAATATTGGTAAAAGAATTTAATATCTTCTTTATGAATCGTTTCTAATTTACAGAAATTGTTCACTTAATAATTTGATAACAATTGTTTTAAATTTTGGTAAATATCTCTAAGTGCGTTTTGTTTTTCATTATTAGATATATGTACTCCTTCTGTTTTACTTCTTGTTGAAAATGAGTCATCTCGATTTCAAATCATTGATATAATTTACTATACAGAGTGTCCCAATGAAAAGTAGCCCCTTTAATGAGCTTGTAATTTGTAAACGCATAATCGTAAAAACATGCGGTTTTCTCAGATATGTTTTATTTAATTATAAGTTTTATTACAGTGATACATAAATTATGCATTACCAACAAAGGGCGTTTTATCAAAATCTCCTCTTTTAAATACACAGTAACCATTTTTTTTAAATGGATCACCCCGTATATGTAGAGATATTTTGAAAGATATACTCTTCTACTTTTTAAAAATGTGTTATTTGTACATGTTATTGTACAAAAAAAGATGTCCTATATCATAAAATTTTGTTAATGTGAATTAAAAGAGGGGAATTTTTTAAACACCATGTACAGACAATACAACATTTTTGTGTCCCTGTAACAAAAAGTTATAGCAAAATAAAATATATCTGCGAAAACCGCATGTTTTTATGATTAGGCGTTTAAAAAGTATTATATTAGCTCATTAAAATGGCTATACTTGTCATTGGGACACCCTGTATTTTAAAAGCTTTCTTGTCCTTTATTTTGGGTTTCGATGGTGTGGTTTTCATTCAATTTCATTTTCCATTGAAAAAAAGGCGGAAGCAGACCCCTGAATCTATTTCAGAAAACAACAATTACTGCCGGTTAGTATAATAAAAAACCGGATAATCCGGTTTAATTTGTTTTTCATTGAATGTCAACTTGCGAGACAGACCAATTTTAATCAATAAGAGATAGGAGCTTTTAAGGACATATAAATTATAGGTACATTTAAAGGGCAAATATACTTTTGATTAATTTCTTTGATAACATAACAAGAATTTTTCGGTGGCTCGTATTTTTTTCTTTGTTATAAAGGAATATATTTGGACAAAAACCTTTCTTGGATAATTTTTGCATCGTTGCAGTATTTCTGAACTCTCTGGCCCAGTTGCTCGTACGCGGATTATTTTTAATCAAATATGGTCACCGTATTCCAGTACGGCGGCCATTTTCAAAAAAATCACTTTCATCTTTTAATTAATCCATTTGATTAAAACTTAAATCTGCCATTAAATTCTATAAGTTTTTGTGGAAAAACTTCAACACTCGGTGAAATTTACGATTAAATTAAGTGCGCCTCTTTTTAAGACGGAAATTCAATTCGAACACTTGTTGATAGTTTTTGGTAAAATTCAGAAGCAGTCTCAAAGCGATTAGAAGTACAATTACTTAGAACTTTCGAAATAAACAAACAACAAACATTATTGCCGAATAATTATATCCCGGATGGTTTTGGTCATTAAAAATTAAGGCCTTGTTTCAACCTGGAAAGTACCTAAATCATAATAGTTGTTGTTGTTGTTGTTTTTATGCGGGCGGTCTTTCCAGCCCCGTGACCACCTAGATCTAATGATCCTCTGTAGTTTCCCGCTGTTTCCCAAGGTCATTGATTCTGCCAGAGGTCGCAAGTATTTGCAAACCTCAGCAGTTCGGATGCCCTTGTGTTTTTGAGATCGCTAGGATCTAATGAGGTCCTTCCCCAGGTATTATACCTGCGCAAGGATAATGCTGGACAGTGACACAGTATGTGTATGCTGTCCTCATCAGCCTCCCCACATAGACGGCATGTTTTCTGCTCTACTATTTTGAGGCGGTATAGGTGCGCTCTGAGTGCTACGTGTCCTGTGAGTAGTCCAAGCGTTTTGCTCAGCCTGTCACGGTCCATAGCCCAGAGCTCGGTTGCCCTTTCTTTTGAGGGTGTTTCCATGAACTGTTTGGATACCCTACAGCCTGTCGAGTTCCTCCATCGAACGAGATGTTCCCTTTCTAGGAGTTTGTTTAGGTATTGTTTACCTTCTGCAAAGGGCATTCCAACTATCTGCCTACCAGGTTGCTCCATGGCCCCCTCTCTGGCTAGATTATCGGCTACCTCATTGCCTTCTATTCCCTGATGTCCAGGGATCCAAATTAGAGTCACTACATTCTCAGCCCCTAACCTGGCGAGGTTCTGCATGCAGTCCCGCACCACGGCGGAGACCGTGGTGTTTTTCGCCAGTGCCTCTAGGGCAGCGCGGCTATCCGAATAAATATTTATTCGGGAATGTGTGGCTCCATTATTTATGAGATGCTCTGCACATCTCAGTATAGCAAATACTTCGGCTTGGAAGACCGAAGCATGTTCACCCAGGGATATGCTCTCCCTGTAGTTGGTATTTTGCCCGTAGATGCCCGATCCATGGCGGTCCCCACACCCCGAGCCATCGGAGTACCAGTTTTCGCCCTGATGTTCCATCAACGGTTTTTGTTCCTTCCAGTCTTCTCTGGTTGGTATTTTTACCCTATAGGTGTGTTCAATCATAACCTGTTTAGAGGTTCTGTCTTGTTTTAATGTAAAAGGTGTGTTTCGAAGGACATGAATCCTGGTATGTCCAGTTCCATTTTCCTTCCACTCCCCTTGACATTTCATTCTGTATGCTGTCTGCCGGGCGACATTTGTCACTTTTAGGTCCAGGGGTGGAATATTGAGCGCTATTTTTAGCGCGTCAATTGGTGTGGTTCTCATGGCCCCTGTCGCAGCCCGCAGGTAGTTACCTTGCAGGCTTTTTAACAGGTTCCGATTCCCCACCAATTCTACCCTGGGCCACCAGACTACTGCAGCATACAGGAATCTTGGTATTAATACCGTTTGGTATAGCCAAAGAGTTACCCTAGGTAAATCATAATAAAGTTGCAGCAAAAGTTTTTCTAATAAAAAATCCGGGCTTATGTTTGGACTTATTATGAGATATCCCAACAATTAAGTTTCTGCACAAAGAGTATCATTGTACGGTTTTTATTTCCCATAATTATTATTATTATTACTCGTATTACCTCTAATTTGCCAATTTTAATAACACAAACTGCTGTATAAACCGAACTATTTTGTTTTGGACAATTTTGTCTTTAGGCTTTTTGTCGGGGCTGATTTGTCTTGGCCTTTTTTGACTGGATACCGCCCTATTCCTTCTCCTTCAGTATCATCACCAGAACTCGTACGTTGCACAATCTGTCCATCGGCGATGCGGAACATTCGACGGTACGTCCACATCTCGAATTCTTCCACTCTTCTCAGTGCTTCTTTTGGCAGTGTCCAAGTCTCTGCCCCATAAAACAATATCTAGTAGGTAAATATAGCATTAAAAAATATGTGAAAAACGAATTATAAACACAGGTAAATACCAAGGGAGTGGCTTTGGCTCGTACATAGGGCTGTGCCCAATTCAATCTTACAGGCACTGAAGGCCCAACAACCTTGAGCGCTTTCTCGCTTACTAAGCAAACTTGAATTTACCCTGCCCAGTGAATCGCAACGTAATGTTCCCGAGTAACAGAAAAATCGATTATGAAACCAAAAGGCATTTTGGCGAAGAGCTTTTGTTGTAACAACTATTTTATACTATTTTGAACTAATTTTAATATAGAATTCGCAACGATCTCCGTTTTTAAATGCCCGATATTGCCCCGACGTTCGGTGGTGAATCTTTCGGCCTGCATTCTTTGTTTTTAGCTTTAGTTTGTAATTTTGGCAATTTTAATAATTTTTTGTTGTTGTTTCCAGCTTCCACATGACGCTATATCGCATACATCGAGCTCGGTGCCTGATGACATGGGCCTGATCGCTCGAACAGTGACTTTGCGTTTCACCGTGGACAAAATATTGTCCCAAGGGCGTGAAATTGAGGTGAGATGTGAGTCTGCTCAACCGGGCGTGCCGGAGCCGAAGAGAATAGCCGCTCAGAAAGTGTCAATTAGACGACCAGGCGATTCGCATATGATTAACAATCAAAAATGGTGAGTAGAAAAACGCAATAGTATTGTACATTATATGATATTACATTGTAATATCACTCTTTTTTTTTCTCTTATGTCTAATGGAAGTTGTCTTTATGGCACTTATACCCTTTATCACCTATGTACAGGGTGGCACATTAGTATGGAAAAGCTCAATATATCTGTTATTGTAGAAGATATCAAAAAAACTTCATTACAAATATTGTAGATCTTTTTAAGCTACATATTTTAAAATTAGTTACATTTATACAGAGTGTCCCGTTTTTCCGTAGTAGATCAAACTTATACTTTTTTAAATGGATTAAATGGAAATGTTTTTTATTTAAAAATTGAATTTAGCTCGTTTTCATCTTTCCAAAAATATAATTTTGTATAACGTTATACTGAGTGGTTTAAAAGTTATGACCACTATTTCACGAAAATCGTACTAAGTTTACCACTCTGTAGAAACTAAATGGATTGAATTGAAAATAAAATTTAGGTTTCACAACATTGCAAATATCCTGAAAATGTAGAAAATTAACATTTTTTGTCAATTTTAATCATACTCCTTACAGGGTGGCTCCAAACGCAAGAGTAACATTTTCTCTGTTAATTTAAATGGATCACCCTATATTTTAAATCGTAAAGTATTTTTGAAC